GTTCCTCAATAATGGAATTCTCTGCTAGACCCACTGGCGGCATAACTGGAACAGTCCTGGGACGTCCTCGCCCCCTACCATGGGCTGGAGCCCTCCCCAGCCTCTAGCAACTGGGGAAGTAGCTCTTCTCTGGTATGGAACCTCATTAGAGCACTCGTAGTTGCAAGAAGAGGCACTCGTAGCTGCAGAACGACTCAGAAAAGCAGCTCACCACTACGCCTCTGGATAACGTGGATACACGATGATAGGTCCTCCACCAGTTACTACCTCAAATCCTACACAAAAAGTGCAGCAAGTATAGCATGAGTATGTAAACAACGTGTACCCAGTAAGTATCAAGCCTAATCTCGAAGTGGCAGAGACGAGATGACCGACTTTGACACTCACGAAGAGTTGATAATAATAAATAAAATAAAAATAGCAATATCTAGATCAACATGATTTATAGAATTTACAATGATTTTCTTTAACCAACAGAAATAATTAAATTCTTTCAAATGCAACAATTCTCAATATATATTAATTAAATTCCTTCAATTCCAATAAATTTTTAATTTATCAATTAGTCTCATTTACAGGAATAACAATAATTCCTTAACAACAAAGATAATTAATTCTTTAAATTTCAAAGATTTTTAATTTATCAATTAGCTTCACAAGCTGCAATAAACTATCAAAGTATCGTGTAATTATTATTATTAGGTACGATTTCTGCTGAGGTCGTATGACCCAATCCAGAGTGTCGTGTACATTGCCGAGGGACGTGCGACGCGATCCATAGATGCATCTATCCTGCCGAGGCATTCGGCCCGCTTCACAAGAAAGGAGGACATTTTCTTATGTACCTCCGGAAGAAGAGTATATTTATAATAAGATAAATTCGGGAGAATGAACAATTTCTCTTAACAATTAATTAATCTAAAACAGAAAATTAAGCATATGAGATTTTCATCTTTTAATATCTTCCCTAACAATTCACAATATATATATCAAATAATTTAATTAAGTAAAGTATACAATTTACACAAGTAATTCATGCTTTTGAGTCCTAAACTACCCGAACTTTAGCATTAATAGTAGTTACGCACGGACTCTCGTCACCTCGTACGTACGTAGCTCTCATAATTAACAACAATTATTAATTTAATCACCTATGGGGTAATTTCCCCCTCACAAGATTAGGCAAGAGACTTACCTCAACTTGCTCCGATTTAATCTACTAGTAAGCCTTTTCCTCGATTATCCAGCTTTGATTGGCTCGTATCTAACAAAAAATAATTCGATACTGTCACCAAAAATTATAGAATCAATTTCATAAGAAAATACTACATTTTCAATAATGATTCCGAAATTATTTAAAAATTCGCCAGTGGGGCCCACATCTCGGAATCCGACGAACGTTATAAAATCCAATAATCCATTCAATTCGAGTCCAAACCATACTAGTTTCACTAAAATCCGACTCCGAATCGATACTGAAATCTCAAAAATTCGTTTCTATGAGATTTCTAATTTTTTTTTTTCAAAATTTCAATCTCAAAACACTAATTAAATGGTGAAAATAATAATATATTCGTGTATATTGACCAAATCCGAGTTAGAATCACTTACCTCAATGTCTTTCCTTGAAAATCTATTAAAAATCTTTTCTGCTCAAACTCCAATTTGTTAAAAATGGAGAATGGGATGAAATTCCCTCCTTTATAGTTCTGCCGAGGCAGCCTTCGGAACTGGGCCTCGATCGTGGCTTCGATCATACCCCTTGAGCCTGGGCCTCGATCATGGCTTCGATCATGGCCCTCAAGCCTGGGCCTCGGTCATGGCCTCAATCATGGCATTGAGCATGGGCCTCGATCATGGCCTCGATAATGGCATCGAGCCTGGGCCTCGGTCATGGCCTTGATCATGGCATCGAGCTTGGGCCTTCGATTGTGACCCTCGACCCTGCCTTCGATCATGACCCTCGATCGTGGCCTCGATCTTGGATCTCGATCCTGGGCCTCGATCTTGGGCTCGATCACGGGCCAGAATATCCAGCAGAAGAGAAAAATTGTAGCAACTGTTTTAAGTCCAACTTTTGATCCGTTAACCATCCGAAACTTACCCGAGGCCCTCAATACCTCAACTAAATATACCAACAAGTCCTAAAATATCATACAAACTTATTTGAAACCTTAAATCATATAAAACGACGATAAAACCATGAATCACATCCCAATTCAAGCTTAATGAACTTTAAAACTTTCAATTTCTACAAACGATGCCGGAACCTATCAAATCAAGTCTGATTGACCTCAAAGTTTGCACACAAGTCATAAATGACATAACGGAGCTGTAAAAATTTTCAGAACTAGATTCCGACCTCGATATCAAAAAGTCAACTTACTGGTCAAACTTCCAAGCTTAAATTCTTGTTTTAGCCATTTCAAGCCTAATTTAACTACGGACTTTCAAATAAAATTTCGAACACGCTCCTAAGTCCAAAATCATCATACGAAGCTATTGGAACCATCAAATCTTGATTCCGGGGTCGTTTTCTCAAAATGTTAACCGAAGTCAAACTTGGCCCTTTTAAGGCTAACTTAAGGAACCAAGTGTTCCGATTTCAACCCAAACACTTCCAAATCTCGAACCAACCATCCCCGCAAGTCATAAATCATTAAATGCATATATAAAAAGTTTTATTTTAGGGAACATGATTCTAAAAGTCAAAATGACCGGTTGGGTCATTACATAAGTATTTTTCTTAAATGCTTCCAAGTGTTTATCACGTTATGAAATTAGTTTTCATTTGAGTTTTGCAGTACTAACCACGTAAGAATCATCAAACATGTCAAAATCCACTTTTTTCGATTTCTTTTTGAACCATGTGGATATTGTTCATTCTAATATTTCACATGTGCATGAAGTCTTAAGGTGATTTATAAATTTTTTATTTTTGAATACAAACTATTTAATTATTGATGATGGATAACACATACATTATATTATACATTAAATATAATTTAATCATTTAAATAATAATGTTAAAATTAAGTGAAAAAAATTCTGTAACAGGAGCTCCTAATATTTAAAATTCAAAATAAAATAAAATTTTAACTTATATAATTTTTTTTCTCATTTAAATAGCATAATATAACTATGTAACTCCTTAATCTAATTCATATCCAAGAAGAAAAACTGACATTTTAATTTTAATTCCTTATTTGTCAAGATCTAATAACACTCATCAATATTAAATATAAACAAACTAAGTTGCACCCTATTTAACAATATATTTTTTTGAATTAGTGAGAATACTAAGGTATAATTTCTCATGTTTCCAATGATAAATCCAATCAAAGGTACTATATTATCAATTCAAATGGCATAAATGAGTTTGGATATACGGATGAACAAGAATACTTAAAATGAAAAAGTTTACAAAGAATACGTAAGAACTAATCTATCTATCTATACTATATTAAAAACACGAAGGCCCTTAGCTAAATGTCGTTCGTTATTTTTACCCTTTAAAAATTAATTTCACATTGGACAAATATGTAATTTAAGCTACTTTCTTAATATTTAGCACTTTAAAAGCAAGTAAAATTTTAATTATTACCTAATACTTAGGAATTCGAAATCAACTAAACAAGGATAAAATATATTAGGAAAAAAAAAGAGAATATAAAAAGTAAAAGGTAAGTTTCTTTTCAACCAAAGACAATTTTTTTTTTACAATTTTGGTGTAAATGTTTTTTGCCTATATTGTACAAGGAAAATTTTATGCAAGATCAATTTTGATCCTTTATTTTCTTTTCATACAATATTTCTTGGTTTGTTTAAATTATATTTTATTAAATTGTTTAAAAAATATAATTATTCATGTGTTAATTTTCTTAATATTTACTTATTTAGGATTTTAAAATTAATTTTATTAATCGAATATGTATTATTTGAACCATGTCAGAAGTCTTAATATATAAAACTTAAGATTAATTAAAATTTTAATCATCTTTTACAAATTCTTTCCTTAAGCAAATATTTAAATTTTGATATAAATTGCTATTTTTTAATAATTTGTTCTTCTTACATATAAATATATTTATTAATTGATGCACTATACACGTGCAATGTACGTACACTAAAACTAGTTATCTCAATAGTGTCTGAGGCAATCTCTCGAGGAGTGAGATTGTGTTGGACAATAATCTTAAGTCCCAGCGTGATAACTAATATATTGAGCCCATTGTAGTTGTTAATCTAAGGACCCCAAGTAGCTGGAATGAACTTCAAGAATATTCAACCAAGGCTAGAAAATTAGAGGAAAATCTACACAGTGTAATCATACTCTAAAATAATAGTGGCGAATATATATTCTTTATTTATTTGGCTAGTGTCGGTATTATATTTCGCCGATCGGACCAAATATGTTAAAGAGCTCAAAATTAAAGAAGTTTAAGCATAGAAGGGCTATATATATACTAGTATCGGACATAAAGATCACTTTTAGTCCCAGCCGAAACTATTTATATCCGATAGCCGTAAAAGTGTTACAAAACTTGTATATTTTTTGTATATAACATACGTAAATATATATGTATACAAAAAATTCATAATTTACTACACGTTATATTGATGCAACTTGCAACAATCCTTCTCCTTCCTCGGAGAAAGATTTTGAGCGGCTATACTTCAAAAATCTCAAGTACTTTCTAATTAACTACAGTCAGACTTCTCTATAACAACATATCTATATAACGGTCATTCACTATAAAAGTCAAACTTTTGTCGGAACCGATTTTTATATTATGTTATAATATATGTCATTTATAACAGCACTTCGCTATAGTAACCAAAATATATTGAAACAAATGAGGCTGTTATAGAGATGTTTGACTGTAATTTAAAATTCTATGGGCTGGGTTTAAAAAATGGATAATTTGGGCTTAGGGCCCATCAAATTTGTCTATCCAAGGAGCCCAATTAGCTGTAATGAATTTGAAGAATTTCCGGTACTTCTCTCAGCATTCCTGTTTTCCATCTCAAAAAAACATCAATGGAACTCAAAAAATTCCTATCAATTCACATTTTATGTGTGTTAATTTTTGTGGGTTTCATTTACTATGTCACAATATTCATTTTCTTGGATGGTTGGTTGAGTTTACAGAGCTCAGTTGGCTCATTGCACGCTTTGATCTTCACTTTGGTGGCTTCCCTTTGTGTTTTCAGTTTCTTTGTTTGTGTTCTTAAAGACCCAGGTGGAGTTCCTTCTTCATATCTTCCTGATGTTGAAGATCACGAAGCTTCAGATCAAGAATCCAAAAGATCTGTAAGTCTTTAGTTTGATACTCCCTTTGTCCCATTTTATAGACTGTTGCTATTTGGATGTATACTTTTCTTTTCATTCATTTCCTGATAATTTTTTCGTTATACAAATTGTGCTGGTGTTCTAACATTTGTATGATGATTGAGAGAGTGTCATTACTAAAGAAAAAAAAGAAGGTAAATTTAGTGCTTTATTATGTTGCAGCTTACTGGTATCTTCTTACATCAAATGGTCTAAAGTTCTCAATTTGTCAGGGTATCTTTATGTTGCATGATTTTTTTGTTTTCAATTATGGTGATTGATGTTTGGTCCTTTCCATGTGTTATTTGTGTATACCATAATTTTATCCCCACGAGATAAGCTGCTTAGTGATAAGGACCCTTAGCCTCCAATTTTAAGGTTAAGCATTTGAGTTACCAAGGGAGCAAAGTGGGAAAAGGTCATTGTTTGGCTCCTGGATAGACAGGGTCTGAGTGGGGTTTAGGGTATCAAAAAATTATCGCCTCTAACGGCTATATCTTGAGGCAATGTCAGATATGATGCTGCATCACTAGAAAAAGATGTCACATTTGCAAGACCAAGCGTTTAGGATTAGAATGCCAGACAAGAAGGTGTTTTCTGCATAGCCAAGCTTTGCTTTGCTGGTGCTGAAATCCCAATAACATTAGACCTTTTGGACAATTTGGTGGGTGGTTACTACTCACACAATGTGCCAAGAACAAGGAAAGATTAGCGAAGAAGATGGCTTTATAGTAGTGGTGATCATGCATGTGTTTCTCAATTATGCCCCATGGCAAAAGTATTGAGTGTTTTTATGAGACCTCTTAACAGTATGGAGAGGAGGCAGGGTGTAAATGAGAGCAAAGAAATTGTGGTAAACAATGCCCATTTGCATAATGTGGTGTATGTGGCTGGAAATAATGCTTTGAAGATAAATGCATAGCACTACCTATTTTGAAGATAATTGTTTATATCTTCTGTTTCTTGGTGCAAAACAATTGGCTTGTATGTGTGAATATACAACCTAGCGTGAAAACAATAGTAGGAGATACTGAGGAGTTTCTCAAAACAGTGGTTTACACTAGGGTTCTGCATTGAGCCCTACTTATCTACCCTAGTTATGGATGAGCTAACCAACGAAATACAAGATGAGGTCCCATGGTGTATGCTATTTGCTAATGATATTGTGCTAATTGACGAAACTAGCGAGGGTGTCAACCGAAAGCTTGAGCAATGGAGAAACACTTTCGAGAGTAAGGGTTTTATGATAAGTAGAAGTAAGACTGAGTACATGCACTACAAGTTTAGTTAGCATGAGAAAACTGAAGTTGAGGTGAGACTAGATGGAATTGCGGTGCCAAAATGCAAACAATTTAGATATCTAGGCTCGTTAGTTCAAGAGAATGGAATGATAGATGAAGATGTTACTCATAGGACTATAACTGAATGGTTAATATGGAGAAGTACTAACAGGGGGTGTTATGTGACAGAAGGATGCCTACCAAAGTGAAAGGTAAGTTTTATAACAGCTATAAGACCGGCTATGTCATATGGTAGTGAATGTTGGGTTGTTAAAGTTCAACATATCCACAAGATGAGTGTTACAGAAATGCGAATTTTAACATGGATGTGTGATCATACAAGATTAGATAAGATAAAAAATGACCACATTTGATAGAAGGTGCAAGTAGCAGATATTCACTTGAGATGATTTGGTCATGTCCTACGTCGACCAACAGATGCACCAATCCATATGTGTGAAACTACAGTGAAGAAAGGTATTAAAAGGGAACGAGGTAGACCTAAAATCACATGGAATGAAGTTATCTCGAAAGACCTACAAATCCTTGAAATTAGTGCAGATTTAGCTAAAGATAGGGCACAATAGAAGAGAAAAATCCATATAGGTGATACCTATTAGTTGGGAATAGGTTTTAGACTTGGTAGAGAATTTATATTATTATTATTATTATTATTATTATTATTATTATTACTATTATTTATATATAGATTTATCTTTTTTACTTGCACTTTTATTTTATTTTGGTAATGATGAGGATATAAGTTGAGCTAAATGACAGGAATGAGGATTCATATCACCGACTCTAACTGGTTTGGGACTGAGGCGTAGTTGTTGTTGTTGTGTATATACACAAAGCTATTTTCTATACACACACGAGTGAGAAATTTTGCTAACAAAAAGGTATTGGTCCTGCAAATCCTGCTAAAGAAGATACTTCATTTGTGCAGGATTATGACATTTGTGTACTATGCGCTCACCTCTACATAGTGTTGTAGATTAAAGTAATAGAAGCCAGGTACTTTTATCTTTAATCTCAAGTAGGGAGGAAGCAAGGACAAGGCTATTCCATCGTATCTTGCTGAAGACATAATCTAGTCAATAAAGAGTCCCTTTTCTGATAGCTTATGATTTTAGATGAGGTGATCACTTAATTTTATTTGGTATTAGAGCAGGCAGAGGTCTTTAGTTCAAATTTCACCGTCACCTTATAAAAAAATTCTACGTGTCTGGTTCAAGTAAGAGAATTAGGTCCACATGTGAAGGGGCATGTTAAGACATAATTAAATGGAGAAAAAGTGTTCCTTCTCTAATAGATAAGCTTTAAATGAGGTGGTTACGTAATTCAACATGATGTCATGTGTTAAAGTTTCATCAGTACTTTTCATGAAAAAAGTTACATGTTTGGCTCATGAAAAGTAAGAGAGCATGTTGAAGACATATTTAAGAAGTAAATAAGAGTGTTTTCTCTAATAGTTTAAACTTTTAGATGAGGTGGTCGGTCACTCAATTCAACATATTTTATGCATTATCAGTTGAATTATCACCCACCTCCTTTTTGTAATTACATTATGCATTGCTTGTTATTTTGTGCTGGAGCCAAAACTCTACTAACTAATGAACACACAGAAAAGATTGTCTGTACTATAATAGTATCTAATTATTGCATATAAACTCACCATCTAGACAATTGTTGACTTTCAGGGTTTGCTTAAGAAGCAATGCGACAAATGTTCAGCATACAAGCCTCCCCGAGCTCATCATTGTCGTGTCTGCAGAAGGTGTATTCTGAGGATGGTGTGTGCTCTCTCAGTTTTTTAATGATTCCAATTTTATTTGGTAAAAAATACATGTGCCTGCTCATTTACCATAATTTTTAACAGGATCACCATTGTGCCTGGATAAACAATTGTGTTGGTCATAGGAACTACAAAGCCTATGTAACTTTAGTGTTCTATGCAACTATTGCTTCAACCTATTCTTTGGTATGGTTAATTCACTCCTTACTATATGGCTTAAGCTATTTGCTCTTAATCTGCGTGATTATAATGTTTTGACGTTTTTCAGATTATATTGATTAGCAGTGCGCTTCATAAGGACTGGGATTTCGATGAAGTGACTCCTATCAAGCTATTTTACGTGAGTCAGTTATTTAATTTTACAATTCAACATGTTAGATGTCTAGGTGACTGGGTTTTGATCCTTTCTTTTCCTTAAATTTTGTGTGTGTGTGATGGTTTCTTTAAGTTTATTGATTGTCTGATTGACTAGTTGTTCATTAGAGTGTGTTTGGTATGATGGAAAATGTTTTCTCGACAAATGTTTCTTCAAGAAAAATGTTTCCAGTGTTTGGTTATAATGCTGTGAATTTCAGCACCTCATCTTCTAGGAATTAGGGCTCATTATATACCTTTCCGTCAGCCACATATGGCGTGATTCTTGACATTACCAAATTGTTATGTTAGACGTCCACCAATTAGATATATCCTGACTTAAAAATATTTCCATAAGATATTTTATTTTCAAGTGGACTTTGTGTTTCCTCCATCTGGTCCTTTCCTAATACGTATAGTTAGCTATTATTTTTTCTAACTAGGTGACTTCAAAATAATGCCTTGCAATGAGTTCACTAAATCATTTTTGCTTTCACTCTAGCTTTGCAGAAATCTGATATATTGTTCTTAAACAGATTGCAACTGGTGTTGTAATTATCGGCTTAAGCTTGACACTGGGAACTCTCCTGGGCTGGCATATCTACCTCACAATTCATAATATGACAACTATTGAGGTAATCACATTGCAGAAAACTCTAAAATCTATGGATTTCCCCTTTTTATTGTAATTGCTAAGCACAGACAATCTCTTTAGCAGTACTATGAGGGAAAGCGAGCGGCATGGTTGGCAAGTAAATCTGGCCTGAATTATCGTCACCTTTATGATGTTGGTGCTTGTAAAAATATTAGTCTGGTACGCTCTCTCTCCCTCCTCTCCCTCCCTCTCTCTTTCTCTCTCTCTCTCTCCATAATTTCTTATGAAAATGCACTGTCTGTTGGCCTATTAATTCTTAACAGGTATTAGGTCCAAATATGTTAAAATGGTTATGCCCCACTGCGGTATCCCATATAAAAGATGGACTCAGCTTCCCCACTTCACGTGAATACTCATAATGCGTTCTCGATCAGAAAACTTTCAGCAGCAAGTGTAAATCTTAGTCCAAGGTCATTACTTCAGAGGTCTACCTGTATCTACTTCCTCTTATTTTTGGAGCAAAACGTTGAAAATCGAAGCAACTAACAACAGCAGATTCAGATGTCACTATGAATTACAAGAATATTTGCAGTTTCAACCTTGGTATGTATTGCCATCGACACACAGTAATCAACTTAGACATCATCAAATGGCATGTCGGTCAACTGCTGCATCATTCAAAACTTTCGGTATATGTTTGTCTGTTAAAGAAATGCAAGAAGTGAACTTTCAGTATACGTTTATCTGTTAAAGGAATGCAAGAAGCGAGATTGTTGTACAGGAACTTATGGTCATTTTGTTACTACATTTGTTAACTTTATCCCCTGTATTCTTTTGGTGGGATACCATGTTGCATGTTAATATTGTCTTTTTTGAACGAGGTAGTGAATTAGATTATGGTTGCTGGCATCTCTTGGGAACCTGTCCAAAGGTATAGTCAAATCATCTAAAGCTTGCAATAGTTTAGTGTTCATGTAAACAAGATGAGAGAGTTGAATTGTTGCACACTGGTATAGGGACTAAGGATAAGATGGAAGTTTTGCAACACTTCTGCTGCAACCATCTTCCTTTTTGCTTGAACTGGTGTGTGACATTGATTTGTTCTTAAAGCAGATTTCCTTGCTCATTTGAATTACAGAAGTGCTTTTGGGCTTTTGACATAGATATTGCCAGTGCACAACTCTACAAGATTGCCCCGGTTAGGCAGCTTGAGTTGATGTTGTTATTACTCTCTTGGAATCAATGCTGATATGGTGAAAAATAAGCCATATGGAAGAAAAAAGAACCTATATAAGCGATACCAATTAGTGAGGATTAAGTTTCAGTCGTGTTAGTATGTTTACTTTAGGTTCCAATATTTGCTAGAAGTCTTCTAGTATGGTTAGGATTTAATCAACAACATACCCAATATAATCTCACAAGTGGGATCTGGGGAGGGTAGTATGTATGCAAACCTTACCCCTACCTCGTGGAGGAGACCGCTTCCGAAGGCCCTCGGCTCAAGGACAAAAAGAAAAGGAGCAGTAATAATAAGCAATAACAACATCGATATATAAATATCAACGATATAAACCCTCAGGGGTTGGCCTGGTGGCAATTGACTTGAGCCTTGGGGTTTGCTCCTTTTCAAGGTCTCAAGTTCGAAACCCACTGGGTGTAAACAATTTCTGAGGGCCATCGGACTGGGTAAAACCTGAATTAACCGTGGTGCACTTGCGGGAAACTCCTTGCCGAGGGCCTGTGCACCCCCGGAATTAGTCGGGTCTCAAAGAGACTTGGACACCCGGTGCAAATAAAAAAAAATAAAAATATCAACGATATAGTAAAATAATTGATGCAAAAGAAATAACACGTAAGAATATAGCTCTACGAAAAGGAAAAAGGAATAAAAAGACTACAAGACTAATACTAATTTAATATCAGTAGAAAATAGTAGAGAACATTTAATGTTAGAGAAACCAATTTTTTTTTATGATATTGGACTGAGATAGGTTTAAATGGAGTGACTGGCATGGAGAATTAGACTATTAGAGCCCATGTAGTTGAGCTCAACTTGCTTAGAATTGTGCCGTAACTATTGTTATTGTTGAGGAGTTAAGAACATGCGACATATGGTGTTGCCAATATTGTAGGTGAAACAAAAAATTAATTTAACCATTTGGATATAATAATATACATACATACATAATATTCTAAGACATTAAAATCTTAATTCAAAAAATTAGCAGACATATTATATAAGTTACAATCGGATACTTAAAACAAAAATCAAGAACTATATTTCGTTTTTGCACTGCACGGACCTTCCGCTTCACAAGCGCTATTATTCTTCTTCTTTCTTCTTCCTCCTCCTCTCCTTCCTTCACACTTCTTAGGCTACTCCAAACATATTGCAAAATATAGAAAACGAGCTAAGTTGGCAGTTGGTTTGGCAGAGTTCGTTACAAGCAGAGCTGATGTGGTAGAGTTAGTTAGAATAAATCAGTGTTAGTTACACAGTTAGTTAAAATTAGTTGGAGGCACTCAGGAGTTACATAATTCACTGATCCATTCTATAAATACATTGTAATTCATATAGTGATATTTAGGGGTGTACAAATGAAACAGACAAACCGCACCAACCCGATAATCCGAGTCAAACCAAGAAAAAAAAATTCAACTATGGTTTAATTTAATTTGGTTTGGTGTTGGAAAAAAACTCCGACCATATTTGGTTTGGTTTGGTTTTAACTAAAAAAAGTCAAACCGAAACCAAACCAACCCGACATTATATGTATAGAAGTTTTAAATATATTTAATACATAAAAATATTTATTGTAGTGTATTTTATAAATATTTCTTAAGCTTTTTCATAGTTTTATCTTTTAACGTATTATTTCAAGCTTGGGCTTATAATTTTTGGACGCTCCAATAAGTTTTATAGTCCATAAATGTTAGTAACTCAAATAAATCCTAAACCAAAATCAAATCAATACTAATGCTAATAAAAGACATTCAATTCAATTGTACTATGAATGAAAATAGTATTGGATATCTATTTTTTTTGGTTTTGCCATGGTTTAGATAACATGTATAACTTATTTTTCTTTTAGCGGTTAGTCATGTAAATAATAGTATTTATTAGTCATAATTTTAAATTATGTTTGTTTTCATTATGGCTTATTAATAATATTTATTTTATGCAATTTTATTATCTTTCTTGTTGAATATTTTAGTACAATGTCATGACTCATCTCATATTTATGTTATTTTATTGAAAAACACCTTATAGAGTCATGTCTTACTAGGATTTAAGAAATATTTGGAGCACAAATTTTACGTTTTGTACTATGAAGACTTTATGAAAAAAAACGAAAAAATCCGAAAACCCTAAAAATCCGAGAAAAATCGAGATTAAAAAATCCGACTTTTATTGGTTTGGTTTGGTATTTAGATTTAATAACCCGATACAATTGGTTTGATTTGTTAATTAAAAAATTCAAACCAACCCGACCTATCCCCTACTCATATTCATTCATATAATAAGAATCATGCTCTCTTCTCTTCTAAATTCTCTGAGCTATTTTCTCGGCAATCTGCCTTGGCTTAGCTTCCATCATCTTCGAGCCTTAGCTCCTAGATTTCTTGATGATTCATTCTTCAAATTGCATCATTTGGTACCAGAGCACGTTGATCCTCGGCATTAACATGGCTAGGGATAAGAATCAAGACAAACCCATTGACATCATGGAAGGCAAATTCTCTGAAATTCAAGATCAAATACAAAAATTAATGGAGGGCTTGACTAGTGTAAATGTTCGGAATGCGCAAACAGATAAGGAGTTGCTCGAAATTAAGGAGGCAATTGGAGTTATCAAATAGCATGACAAGGGAATGACGTCTTCATTTGATGGGGAATCTGCAGGTCCTATTCGAGTGGGTCGTTCTAAGGAAGCTCAAACTAGTTTTGCTCCGACTGGTAATCGCTCCTTCACTCAATATTCTAGACTTGATTTTCCTCATTTTGCTGGATATTATTTGAAATCTTGGCTGTATAAGGCGGATCATATTTTTTCTATGGAGGAAATTACATTTAAGGAAAGGGTGAAGGTCCTTTGTATTCATTTTGATGGTGATGCTATTGTTTGGCATAGGTCGTTTATGAGGTCTAGAAATACTGTTATATTCCCAACTTGGACTGAATATGTTCTGGCTTTACATGACAGTTTTGGGGATGGGTTTGAGAATCCAATGGAGGCTATCAAAAATTTGAGACAAAGTTGGTAGTGTGAAGGATTACCAGACTGAATTTAATAGGTTGTTAAATGAAGTTAACCTTTCGAATGAAAATGCTATAAGCTGTTTCTTAGGTGGATTGAAACCAGAACTTAACAAATCTGTTAGAATTCAATCTCCTAGAAAGCTAATGCAAGCATACAAAATTGCTAGATTACAAGAATGTATCTTTGAAGCTCATGCACAATCTTGGGGCCTTAAACCTGCTACTAAATACCAAAATCCAATATTACCCACTCCTTCTGTATTCAAACCACATAATTCACATAAATCTACCTTTTCAAATTCCACATTCAATAAATTTTTTGAATCAAATGCCCAGAAAACCAATAAAACTAATGGTCACACAGCTGGTAGAAGGTTGACTGCAACAGAAATGGATAAAAAGAGGTCCAAAGGTTTATGTTTTTTCTGTGATGAAAAATATGTAGTTGCGCATAATTGTAGGGCAAAAAGGTAGATTTTCATGGTAGAATTGATTAAAGAAGAAGCCATAAATTAAGTGGATATGGATGAAATAACATAGGATGTCATGGAGGGAGTAGATGAATTCATGACAATATCATTACAGGCTTTCACTGGGGTAACTGGTTATCAGACCATCAGAGTGACTGGCTACCATGAGAAAAGACCTCTTCAAGTTTTAATTGACATCGGAAGAACATATAATTTCATTGATCAAGAAGTAGCCAATAGATTAGGGTGCAAAGCTAGTCCTATAGTAGAGTAATGCATCAGTGTAGCTGATGGAATAAAGGTTCAAACAACATCTGTGTGTAAGAATATGCAGTGGCTTTTACAAGGAACTACCTTCTCTCCACATTTCCTACTCTTACCTTTAGGAAATGTTGATATAGTTTTGGGGGTTAAGTGGTTAAACACCTTGGGCAGAATTTTATTTGATCTCAGTAACATAACTATTGAGTTTGTCTATTAGGGAAGGAAGCATGTGCTAAGAGGGGCCAGCAAACAACTTAAGTCAGCTAAAGCAAGTTCAATAGTTAAGAAGGGTGGAGAAGATACTCAATTTTTCACGATGACAGTAACAAATAACACATAGGAGAACCATAGTTTTCATAACATACAAGTTGTCCAAGGTACTGAAACCTCTCCAGCTTTAACTGTGCTGTTGGAACATTATTCCAGCATATTTAAAATTTCTACCACACTACCTCCCCACATAGGTTCCTTTGATCATAGGATTCCTTTTATTGGGTCTGTAAACCCAGTGAACAAGAGGCCCTATAGATATCCTGGTGTTAAGAAAGATATCATTGAGAAACTAATTCAAGAAATGATTGATCAATGAGTCATACAACACTCAACCAGTCCCAATGCATCTCCTGTTGTTTTGGTTGGTAAAAAAGATGAAAGTTGGAGATGATATGTTGACTATAGGGAGGTTAACCAGTTGACAATAAAAGATAAGTTCCCTATCCCTATAATAGAAGACTTGCTTGATGAGTTAGGAGGAGCAAAAGTATTTTCAAAGATAGATCTAAGAGCTGGTTATCACTAGCTGAGAATGGCAAATGAAGATACCCATAAAACAGCTTTCAAAACATATGAAGGTCATTATGAATTTTTAGTTATGCCCTTCGGCTTAACTAATGCACCCTCTTCATTTCAAAGTT